GTTATACTCTCAATTTAGTAAAAGAAAATTAAATGTATAACTACTGGCAGTCCAGCCACATACTGACTTCTTGTTTAGATATGGCCACACCATGGTGTGGTCACACCATCAAATGTAACTTTCACCATTCTGTGATCACCCCATCTTGTGTATCCATTCGTGAAACCCCTTTACAGTCTCCCAAGACGATTGGACCGCAAGTTTTTTTTCTGTGGCATTAAGGATTGTGAAAGATTTTACGACGTGGGTACCGATTGGCCAAAGTCAACGCCTGATGTCTTGCGATACACACTTTTATCTTATACGTATAATGCACCAATCGTTTAAGTGGGTATGAATGTTGAGGGTATCGTGACACATTCGAACGACATTGACTACATGAGTATTCATCGTGCTGCGTTGGTTCGCTCGGCATTATGCCTTACAACTGGTATGTAAATGTCAAATTTGTATGAAATGTATGACATTTAACATCCATCTATCACCTTTTACAAGCCAAGTGTCGGCCATCACCTACGCTCTTTTGTTTTCCAAAGCTTGAGTCCCACCCTCGGCATGACACAAAAAAGTTTGAATGGATTAAATCTATTGAAAGTAACCACAAGAAGATAACCACAGAGTATCTAGCACTTCAAGCACATCGCAATGAAATGAAAGTATCAAGTGATATGAACGACTACAAGATTCAGGACAAGGAGCATCAGCTGCATCAAGGCCATTGGGATTGGATTTCATATGTCACACAAGGTCGACGTCAAACAGATTTTGCGATACATTGCCCTACAACTGTTGAGATTCTCGAATCAATTCCTGGATTCATGACGAATGTGCCATTTGCCTACTCATTCTTTTCGGTATTAAAACCACAGGTGCAATGAATGACATATAGAGATGTATGTCGTGCTAGTTGAATGAATTTGATTAATGTCTATATGACAGTCTAGTATCAAAGCTCACTCTGCTCCGTGCAACATTCGTCTTCGTTGTCGCTTTCCGCTCATTGTGCCATCTGATTGTGGTATTCGTGTTGGCAACGTGTCTCGACAATGGCAAGAAGGCCAAGCACTTTTATTTGATGGTACAATTCTGATTGAAAGATACTTTTTGATAACAACGCTAACGTTTCTTTATCCTACTTAGATGCTTTTGACCACGAAGTATGGCACAATGGACATAAGGGAGATCGAGTCGTTTTGCTATTCGACATTTGGCATCCAGATCTCGTACAAGATGAGCGTGAGGCAATAACTGAAATGTTTAATGATGCAAAGGCCAAAGGGTGGCTTTCAAACGATGGATAACATTCTACAAGGTTGCATTAAAGCAGTAGCTCAGCAAACCCTTTTTCATGTTCGTGTGATTTCATGACTTTGCCACTTTTCAGATACGTCATCTTCTGATCTGCATTGATCTCTGCACACAAAGCATGAATATCATTTGCTTGATCTTCACTATGTGATGATATCATTTGTTGCTTCGTCTCTTCCTTCGTTTCCAATCGTCGTCGCTTCTGTTTCTTTTTTCCATCCAAACTTTTCTGCTTCATTTCCAATAATTTCCTATAAAATAGTTTTTCAGCACACAATGTACACGCTCGGACTTTGACTAAACAGCGCTTTCGCTCTC